TAAATTGTATCCTGCTGATACGCTAAGAATAATCTACAGACATATGGACTTAAATATAAGGTTTACAATTGTATGGATAATGCCTGTTTCTGTTTCATTCATCACATGATATCCCTATCGTGCGCTCACTCACTCTGACCGATTCGATACGAACCAAACGAATATAGCTGATACACGAATCGGTACGATATGCCGATGCGCATCACATCGAGCAATATCGTGTATCGGCTGATATCGATACATAGATTTCGATTCACGAATCGGTACGATATGCCGATGCGCATCACATCGAGCAATATCGTGTATCGGCTGATATCGATATATAGATTTCGTGCGGGGCGATATCGGATTCAACGATATTGCTGCGATATATAGATATTAAATCTAGATACGATTTATATCACCCACTCCTAGTAGTATGTGTAATGTTTTTATTTATTGATTTAATGTATTTTATATGCGTAATTTAAAAAAGATATTAGAGCATTCTACGCTCCTCTATATTCTCTTATAAGTGCGGGAAATTTCATATTCCTCTGTTAGCGCAATTTTCGTAAAGAGGTGTACAAAGTTTTTGTTTCACGTAAATATACGAGATGTATTTTCATTGTGGAAGTACGTATTTCTGTATTTTTTTTAAATGGTACCTGTTTATGTGATTTGCGCACTAATATAGCCAAATCACTACATTACAGTACACGTTCAGCACTCATATACAGCGGTACTCACCACATCAACATACATAGATAGGATTAGTTACTTGTTAGCGAAGTATATAATAAACGGATATTCTTTGACTATCAGTGGTTTCTTCCTATCTAAATCTCAAGTTGTGTACGCCACATTCAGCAGCGCATACAGGGGCAATCTTAACCTTTACGCAACAATGTCTTTATTATCTTCGTATTTTGTAACATCCCTATTAATTGATTGTGTTGTGCAGGGTGGCGGCGTCAAGGAACATAGCGGCGCTGGGGCTGAGCGAGCTGTGCGGCGCGTGCTCGCTGCTGGAGGCGCGCGGCGCGGTGCGGGTGTGCGCGGGCGCGGGGCGGGCGCGGCGCTTGCGGCTGCACTGGGACCTGCCCGAGCTGCAGGCCGCGCTCGCAGACAAACCGCTCCTCGCAGAAATACTTCGGCACGCCGCCTAATCATTGCCAAGGCATATACTCGGCCCACCGAAATATTCCATCACCTTTTGCTGTGAAGCATTCGTGCGTTCCGATTTTAAGAGTAGAATAGCCTCATTACTGGTGGTAGGACCTCTTGTGAGTTCGCACGGGTAGGTACCACCGCCCTGCCTATTTCTGCCGTGAAGCAGTAATGCGTTTCGGTTTGAAGGGTGGGGCAGCCGTTGTAACTATATTTGATACCTTAGAACTTATATCTCAAGGTAGGTGGCGCATTTACGTTGTAGATGTCATATGGTCTCCAGTAACCACTTAACACCAGGTGGGCTGTGAGCTCGTCCACCCATCTAAGCAATAAAAAATAAAAATTTCATCCTCATGTTTCAAGGTGGAATGTCATTGTAATTTCTAAGTTCGGTAACCAAATAGCTCCGGGTAGACTAAGTGAGGCTGCTTTTAAAAAAAAAACCCACCTTACCGAAAAATTTTCTCGAATACGAGTGGCGATATTTTTGTATGCCATCATTTCATGCAAGAGCGCTTCCTATTATTACCATAATCGCTTTCAACTGTTCACACAATAGTAAAATCTCGCATTAAATCGGGCGATAATCAAGAAGACATTAAAAAGGACATTCACCTTTGAGTGTCGAAACCGTTACGTTTGTATAATCTAGACATTATTTGCTGATTCTCTTTGGATTCAAAAAACGTTCCTCGCGTGATACAGTACTGAAGCTCCGGCGATATTCTTGTCTACATCACAGTATTGTTTGGTAAAATGAAGATGGCAGCTGGCATAACGAATTTGAAGTTAGTATTTTGTTAGTCATTAATCGGACAGACGATATTTATAATAGAATTAGACAAAAAGCAAAGGCTGTAATAGTTAAATGGCATATAACTGGGCGAGAAGAGAAAAACGTTCTTTATTTGTTTGTATGCTGCCAACACAATTTGTGTCAATCGGAGTAATAATACAAGGTGCGTTCTATTCACACACCATTGTACGTTGCGCAACGAGGCCTGAGCCACGCGATGCGCTCGATGAGTGAATGTCTCGGTTTCGTATGTATCTAGAGATTGCGCAGCGCAGAAATCTCTTAAATGCGGTATTAAAATGCACACGTACATACTAGTGAACGTTACGTGGTTACGACACTATGAGAACTGTCGTGCGAAAACAGATTCGTACGTTTCTCTAAAATTTGCGCACCTATTATGACGCTCTGTCGTTAACCATCTCGTGGAACTGCGTGTATGTAACTTGTTATTAAATACAAAAATGTGTGTAGTCTTAGGTTTAGTGGATAATTAATTTTAAGAATTTTTAACCATTGACTGAATTATTAAATTTCATAATAAATTGTTTTGTTACTCATTTCACTTGCCTTAAATAAGAGTTCAGTGATTGAGAAAATGTTTTAATGTTATGTTAAGAATAAGTATGTATTTGGGATTTGCTCAAAGTACATTTAATTTTGTACATTATATTGTCCTTTACTCTAAGCCAGTCTAAGCTAAAACCGTTTTGTTAAAATTTATAAAACATAAGCGATGAAGAATAATTTTACTGCAATTCAATAATCATGTAAAATGTAATTGATTTGGTGTTGAAATGTATAATTAATGTGGCTGTTAATTAATAATCAAGTTTTTCTTTAAACAGTTTTAAACTTATTTTAAGTTTAGCCTAAGGATTAAGGAATTCAAAGGATTTTTATTTAAAGACATATTTTTATATTCACGACAAAAAGTTTTACTCTCTGTACACAATCCTTTATATTTTTACGATTGTTTGTTTGTAACCTAACTGGAAGTATTGAGCTGACGTAATAAAATTATACCTTTATTACCTAATTTTATAGATTTGTTTTGTTTAGGTTTTTTTTTAATTAATAAATGACAAGGAAATGAAATAAAACATTGAAAAACGTACACGTATTTTAATGCTATCTAGTATACGTTAGTTACATTGGTGCAATTAAAAACTTTACAATATGAATTTTGAAATTAAATTCAGATTAACAATATGTACAAAACAAAACCAAAACGTTTCATTTTGAAAAACCATAATTTTATTCAATCTGGTTAACGTTTTTGATACACGAATTTTGAACGATACATTATAAAAAAATAAATAACTTAAACGTAGTAAATCTACTAGCCGCTTTTTGTACAATGTCAACGTCAGCCATCAAAACTACTCGAAGGGTGAGAAGCTTAGAGACGCAGTCCCGGGTTCCGTGATCGGACAAAATTAAGTAGTTCATCACTGTCTTCGCACACGAATGGCTTTACGTGGTGGCAAGCCACATCGTGCCATTTAATGCCATCATTATAGAAGTTGTTAAGTATCGCCAGACAGGACTCGTCGTTACCCTATTGGAAAGAAACATATATTTAAAAATAAAGTTTCAACATTAAAGAATGTTAATGTTTCAAAGAGATTAAATTTACATTTATTTCGTCTTTAACGTAACTTACTTGAGCAGCTTCTCTGTTATCAGGCTGTGCTTGACCGTAGCCACCGGTGTAAGACCAATCGCCCGTATTACGTTGGGTGGTGGGCCCGATCTTGGCTCCCGAACCTGACCAGAACCAACCGTTCACATTTGGAGGCTGTAGGTCACCGCGGTCACAGCCGGCGAAATTACATTTACGACCAGAAGTCCAAATGTAACGTATGTTTCCGCGAGCGATCCTTTGCTTTACAAATTCGTTTTCCTGCAACCATATTATATAAAAGACTAAGTACGGTATATTTTAAAATTAATTATAGTATTAAACTAAAGATGTAAAAAAGTGTTTTGTGATTACAATGATACAAAAATGATAACAATTCATAAAAAAAACTGTCTCTTGGTCTTGATTACTATGATTAAAAGTACTAAAATTTCTTAACTAATTACTTTTTAAATTATTACATTTGCAGTTTAATCTAAAAATACGATTATATTCAGATTCTGCATGAAAAAATTGCCGGTATAAAAATGTAGGTGTCTGGGTTAAGTGATTGATTTGTATTCATTCGCCATATACAGCAACTCCTTATAATTATTTATAATTTAAGTGTCAGTATAGGGAAGTATGCGTCCGCAATGCACGTCCGGTACTGATGGAAGTGTGTTACACGAACACGGCTAAAGAAGGTAAGTATTTGTGCCGCGCGCCACTTGTACGGCCCCAACGCGTGTTGATCTTGACGCGCTCGGCCATTGCACCCCTTTCACGCAATAACTTCAACGCTCTATAAATTTTGTATTTGCTTGATCGCGTGCATCATACTCAATTATCTTATGTTTTTTATATTGGCTTTGACGGGCAGATGAGCTCACGGTCCATCCTCTTAGGATGTTAACAGAGCTCATACATAAATAGGTTTCGACCGCCATTCAACTTTAGGCACGAATAAGGTCGAAATTCCACTCGAAATCGTGCTTCTTGAACTCGGGAACTTTTTGGACTGATTTCTCGCTTTTTCAATACCATAACGGATTGTAAGTGTTATGTACAATTACAAAAAAGCTTTAATAACATTAATTGCGTATAGAACTCATCGTAATTCTGATTTATTCTTCAAGCGACTAAAATGTACCTGTCAATGCAATGTTAATAAAATTGCATCCTTCTTTAAATTGTACATCAAGGCTTTACAAAATTAGTATGAAGTATCAAACAATTTAAATAAAATAAATACATTCTATTGGCCTCGCTAAAGAAGACGCTTACTAAGAGAAGTATGTATTAATAATGACGAATGTGGATTGGTTTTTCAAGGTCTAATGAATGCATCAAGATTGCTTCACAGACAAAAGAACTTTTGACCTAACAAGGTTTCTGCAACAATAGTTTGTAAACTGAATAGAGACGAATAAGAGGGCATCTTTTTTATTGTTTTCGCACGAGCCTCCGGAAGCCCGTAGACATCACCAAGTGAATGTCATCACTCACCTTGAAACATGAGATCAATAAGGTGTTTAACAGTTGTGTCAGCTTCTTTTATTCCAAATAAATTAATGCTTCACGGAAGAAATAAGGAAGATGTTAATTACCCGTGTGGGCTCACAATATATTCTGATAAGAGCATATAGTTTACCTGGGGTGTTTCTAAGGAAACAGCGTCCATGCAATGCCTGCGGCAGATGTTCCTTGCGTCCAGCCAATCCACTTCTAAGCTGCGTGTTGGAGCATGTTCCCAGCTAAAGAAATACGAATGTAGTACTCCCCGTGCATCGCGGTATGTCGAATGGCGTACTCCTGTTCAACAAAGTTAAAGGTTATAGAAAAACTACGTACTTACATGTCATTAAATATGTTTACCAAGTTAGATGGGCGGATGAACGTGTCGTCCACTTGGTCCTAACCGATTACTGGAGCCCATACTTAACATAACACTGAATACTATCGTACAATTTTAGATATCAGAGTAAAGTCTCAATTGTATTAAAATTACGATTATCTCGGTTTTGAACTACAACTATTGATGTATTTGCCGCAGATATAGATAGAGCAGTACGACACTAATCCGTTGCTGTTTCATAGGACACTAGCTTTATCCAGTCTAATCATGACTGTTTATAATAAGGGGCCACTTGTTAATGAAAATAAGTTAATAATACTAAAAATGAACGACGGGGAAGTAACAGAGATAGTTTAAGATTGGAGTATCTAATTAGTACCAATTTTTCCTAGGACATGCACTTGACATATCTTCACAAACGACTTCCACAACGAACAAGTAAGCATCGTGTATTATAAATCAAACTCATTAAGCCCTAAATGAAAAAATTTGTACCTACTGACGTAGGTCCAAAATTATACTAGAAACACTAAAATGTATTTCGCATGTTTAACCGTCAACAATAGCTACTACTTACTGAAAAGTGGATTTCGACATGACTTAAGTAGGTTTATGCTTTTGTTTGTTTCGCAATTTTACACGTTGCAGTAGGTATATAATATACTACCTAGTGATTTACATATATTTTTTTGTATTTATAGCTTTGAGTTCTGCTAATAGTATATACCCTAACTAAATTTTAATGACTTTTTTGTCATCGTTTTGCAAATTTAGGAATTTTACGGGCTACGTTTCCAATTTTTTAACCGACCTAAAGAAGAGATTCTAGTTTTGGATAGTGCGTTTTTTTAATTCCTTAAAAACAATTGACAAAATTTCACCTGCCAA